GATCTGTATGCCGATGTTTAATTGTCTGTATGTCGACGTTTTATTGTCTGTATGTCTTCAATATCACGTCTTTGACATCAATATTTTCTTATACCAATCTCATGGCGGTTTCAAACTGTATAATTGCCTTCTTACAATTTCAGACTCTCTTGTCGCTGATATTGATGTTTCTTTGATAGTTTACCATCATTATTGCCTTGATATGGTATCATGCAGCTTAGTAATTGGCGTTCTACCCTCTAACCATCTTATGCCTAAACGTATCAAAGAAAGAACAGAGTGCTGATGTTCCTACATGAACATATTGTTGACTATATAAAGCATGTCCTATATCTTCATGATGACTGAGTTGGGTTTTACGCCGTTTGCGGCAATATTTCAGCAATTTATCACAGGAAACACCAGAGATGTGATTACTTAATAAAGGTATTAGCATATGCACCAGGAATATAGAAATTCTGAAATGACACTTGAAGATATATATCAATGTTCCTGAGCTTGCACGGTCGTTGTTCTAAGACGAGGCGGTGGAGTGTAACAGAACTAAGCAGAACATGACCCTGAAAATATATCTATTCAATCGATTCTTGTTTGAAGAGGAAGATGTAATGCTCTCTTGATCATCCGCTGAAGACAAAGGACTCTTAGTTTATATTTCAGTTGTCAGTGAGACTGATCCGCTCCGTGGGGAACGACGCCTGCTGCATTAGAGCTCTGCACCAGATGTTTGTTTCACAGTAGACGCAGACGACACACGTGCGGCGTGAAATTCTACCAACAGCAGCAGCGTCCCCTATGTAAAAACAAGGAATCACCGATCCCTACAGACCAGTCTATATGTGTTTTTGAGAGATATGTCATAAGACCTGCTCGTCTGCATACAAAGCCTAGTTATCTTGCTTCCATTGGCAAGTCAGACATTAATCTCACCACTTCGCCAACTATTCCCAGCGCCATATATAATGCACGACCCTCGTGTGCTCGGTCTTTTCTGGAACTCTGGTCAATTGATCACGTTGTCGCAAAGCCCACGTACACAGGTAGCACGTCTTTGATGTTTCTCAGTAGGTGTTTCAACCGTTCAAGAGTATTTAAAGGTTTAGAGTCACGGGCCCAAGGGATTATTAATATTTATTCCAACTCTTTGACATTTAATGTATTTTTGATGATTGACTAGGAACACATAGTGTAAATAATAACAGGTATTCCAGGGTATCATGTAACCTTCTGCGTGGGCACATCTAATACAAAGAATTATCCAGTCACTCAAATGCCACTTTCCATCTCGAATACCATTACATTAGGTATATCTATTAGCTATCCTCTTCAAGTTAAAACTCAACTCAAACGAAATTTCGGTCCATCATGTGTTAGGAACTCGTCTGATGACTTTTGAAAACCATCCATCATAGACACATGGAACAAAAAGAAATGTGTGCTCGACATTATCACTAACAAAAATCAGCATCAGAATAGTGACTTGTAGCCAATTGATTTTATGGCAAAAACAAATTGTCGGTGATGTTTAGCCTTCGATCAGTAACCCTTATACTTAAGACCAACGAAGATAGCCTTAATTGCTTTGCACCTGAGGAAACATACCTTGGGCAGTTATATCATCGCAGACATAAAAAGCTGAGAAACTGAGACAAAGAATAAATACATGAATAAAACCAGAGACCATATAATAGATGGTCTCTGATAAAACATAAAGGACATAAAAAATGTCCCTTGGTACCAAAACCATTTTTGAATTGTGGCGGTTCTACCCCCGTGGTTGAAAACAAGAAGCTGGTGTTTGGACCTATTTGAAAGGAGTCATCGAGTACTAATTCGTCCCTAATTTAAAAACCCCCAACTACTTTTGTTATGAGATACGTGAATGTCATTCAAGGAATGATGGTGTCATGTCACCTCCCAGTCCATACATCGATTACCTTAAGCTGAAATAATGGATGAAATGCCAATGGAATAGTCATGAAGTCTTTCAGAGCAAGGTACTCGTGTTAACGTGCTATCAATTTCTGTCAACAACTAGATCGGGTTTCGTCAGCGAGGCCGATTAAGCAACACATAAAACTATGACGAAGGTAGTGGAGATTTACATTATAAAAACTTGTGTTTGGATATTCAGCATAATTTTAGTGCGTTCTTTGCCCATAACCTTGAACGAGTTGAAGATTCTGTTGACATCTTAGGCTGCTTAGGGTCCAAAGGTTTTAAAAGCTGAAGGTGTTTAGGGTCTTAAAATGTTAATAACTCAACCCGTTTATGTTCTAAACGTGTTTAACATCTAAACTTGGTTTGGTTCTAACCGTGTTTAATATCTGAACCTGGTTTGGTTCTAAACGTGTTTAACATCTGAACCTGGATTAGATCTAAATGTGTTTAATATCTGAACCTGGTTGGGTTCTAAACGTGTTTAACATCTAAACTTGGTTTTGTTCTAACCGTGTTTAATATCTGAACCTGGTTGGGTTCTAAACGTGTTTAACATCTGAACCTGGTTTGGTTCTAAACGTGTTTAACATCTGAACCTGGATTGGATCTAAACGTGTTTAACACCTGAACCTGGTTTGGTTCTAAACGTTTTTAACATCTGAACCTGGTTTGGTTCTAAACGTTTTTAACATCTGAACCTGGTTTGGTTCTAAACGTGTTTAACACCTGAACCTGGTTTGATTCTAAACGTGTGTAACATCTGAACCGTGATGGCACAGTCGTCTAGGCCTCTGCAAAATGCTGTGTTGTGTCTGTTTGCTATCGACTTCGGATTAGAAGGTCCGTGGTTCGAATCCCAGCACGGGACTCGAAAATTTTATGGCCGCTACATTTGTGTCCAACGTGGGGCTGAGCACGTTCCTATTGAATTTGAGCAAGATAAGTACAATAGTAATTTACCTTCCACTGATTTTCCCACCTGAGTTAGAAATAGCAGAAACTGATGAAACGGTGTCATTTGTTTCATATTTAGACCTATGCGTTAAAATTCGATGACAAACATTTATGGTCAGATGGATAACTGTAACTTTCCAATAGTCACAGATTCACGGTAACGGGACCCGGAAAGTGAGTGAGTAAGTGAGTTTACGCAATATCACACCAGAAATGGTCTTCACACATTGTACCCATGTGGGGATTCGAACCCGAGTCTTTGGCGTGACGAGCGAACGCTTTAATCACGAGGCTACCTCACTGCCCCGGGCTCGGAAAGAGATTCCCTATAAGAGTGACACGGTAACAGAATCACGGTAACATGTAACTGTTGATGGAGACACGGTGACAGATTCCCTGTAACAGAGCCCCAGTAACAGATTCCCTGTAACAGAGACACGGAAACAGATTCCCTGTAACAGAGAGACAGAAACAGATTCCCTGTAACAGAAACACGGTAACATACCCCTGTAACAGAGCCCCAATAACAGATTCCCTGTAACAGAGCCCCAATAACAGATTATCTGTAACAGAGACACACTGTAACATGTAACTGTTGATGGAGACACGGTAACAGAGCCCCAGTAACAGATTCCTTGTAACAGAGTCCCGGTTTCAGATTCCTTGTAACAGAGACATGGAAACAGATTCCCTGTAACAGAGCCCCAGTAACAGATTCCTTTTAACAGAGACACGGTAACAGATTCCCTGTAACAGCCCCGGTACCTCGGGTGGGACCTATTGACTAGGGTTCTGTGATGCTGTTATGCAAGTTGCGCACAATGAAGATTTACATCTTATATCAGTGCTCTCTGTAATAAGAACCAACGACAAACATGTCGGATGCATTAGATCCTATCATCAGCCTTCCCCGCTACCAATCTACTGTGTTTAAAATAACGTTAAACGGTACTGTTTTCGTGGTGTCCATGTTTGTGACTGCACTCGCAAAATCAAATACAGAAAGTAGAAATACAACTCTATTTAAAGACCATGCTTTGATGTTTACGCAAAACTACATTAACCAATATTCCAGCTATATTTAAATAAATGACAATCCAGTCATCATAAGCAGCTATCTTCGTGATTTGGAAACAAAGACATGCACCATTCAAGTCGTCGATTCTGATCACCCGATCCCGGACGTCGACTCGTAGCACCATGGGCTGGTGAAGAGTGTGTGAGTGAGTATGGTTTTACGCCGATTTTAGCATTATTCCAGCAACATCGCGGCGGGGCACTCCAGAATCGTGCTTCACACACAAGAATGAGGGAAGTGGAGAATCGAACCCGGGTCTGGTGTGGCGAGTGAACGCTTTAACCACTAGACTGCCTCAGCGCCCGCTTGCTCAAGACCAGACTAGCTATTCTCGAAACGTTCGTATCCCTTAGAACTTCTTAAACCCATTCTTAACACATTGGCTACGATCAAAGTTCAGAATTCTTAGGTATACGAACGTTTCTAGAATAAGGTCTCTGGATGTTCACGGGGGCATTGTAAACTTAAATTCGTGACACAATGTGATACAGTGAAATAGCCCCGTCTTGAACCAAGGTCAGTGCCACATATACAGCCGCCCACGATCAGGCCATAATTCTCTTTGATGCAGATGACAATGACATCTCATGTGTCACGAGGATATTCTTGCTTGTCAGTGAAACAGCTCTTTGATGAGAACTACAAAGGTCGACTATGACGTCATTCGGGATGATTACCCATCGAGGATCAGACCTTGAGGAGGGCAGCTGTTTTAAGCTGGTGTAATTACAGAATCCATTCGCCAAAGAATAAATTGTTTTATAAGAAATAGATATGTCTTACTAAAAACCTTTAGTATCGCTACACTGATGATTCATGCCTCCTCGATCCTTAGGGTTAGTTGTGGTAAGGTCCGGTAGGTTACCCACAATCCTTTGCCCTACATCCGCTGGGTCACTCTGACCTCTAGGAGTGCGGTGACCAGGCTGGATACTCATTAAAGACAGACAGAAGAGGACAAAACAAAAGTGACCGCTCTCCAAAGGAAGAACCAGTCCAAGACTCCACAAAAACACCACACGTCATGAATAGATCAAAAATTTATTTAAAGATGAAAATGAGACATAAGTAAATGGTTTTTGAGAGCAATATGTAATTGATAACAGATTGAAGTCAAACAAGGGAAACTAGCATCTATTTACACAACCCTCTGAAGATATAAGGCTGAATCTAAGAGTTTTGCACGTGGAGGTAAAAAACATGTCTCAAGTTCGTGCTGGTAATAGCTATCACAGCACGATCATGTCTGCGGGTAATTCAGAGGCCAAATAAAGCACAGTGAAAATCAAATATTGGAATATTTAACTTATGTAACGACATCAGCTAAAATGTCTCAAACAAATCAATAGCAATAAAAAAACTGCATTTGCATGTGTGTAGATAGAGAAGTGCTTGAAAGTGTCGTTTGTGGAATGTTTAAAGAAGAGGTAAGAATCGGTGGTTTCTGGTGAAATATTGTAAAAAACAAGTTTTAGATAAACATGATTATTTTGACCGACATGTAGTAAATATATACATGGTGTTCAAGTTTGGATAGTAGATGATAAAAGGTAATGTGACAATATGATGTGGGAAAGTGAAGGTGATTCTTTAAGTGTGACCGTGAAGAGTGAACTAGCCACTTGTTAAAGCTTCATGTTAAAAGGCAAATACTAGATGCAGTTCTCATTTCACACCTGTACTGCTACACTCCAAAAACGTTGGACGAATTAAAGGTTGTTGCACTCAGAATTTGGAGACCATTCGACAAAATACCAATTGTTTAAAATGAGATGACTCAGAATTATTCAAAGAGTAAAGACTGTATGTAAAGGTATTCAGAATAATGAAAATAGTTTTAGACAGCAGTAACTTCCAGAGGTTTTACTGGTTCATAGACCATAAAAATGCTTTAGGAAAAATATCTGTCTAGAAGGTTAAGAGAGCCCTTAAAGCAGGCCCGTGGGACAGGTGGTCTTATCGCCAGTACCACAGCCGAATCTTTCTGATCAACTTTTCACAATGATGCATTTGCCGAACCATACAACCCATTGACCAGCATTTACATACCTACAGAATGTTTGCACGAAAGTGAATTTAGAATCAATATGATTTTACATTCATATGTTTACGTTCAATAATATGATGTTTACTTTGGTCTTTTGAGAAGAAAAGATCCCGAAACCTCCATGCATCTATCTATCTATCTGAATTTTTGAAAGGGTACTGTCACTACTGCGAGTATGGTAGGTTTTGACAGCACTTAACGTCCAAATGGCTTTGGCAGATAGTAAAATTGCCTGTTTGATTAGCTCAAATGTTAAAAGGGGAGAGTATTTCTGAATTGTTTAGATAGCTCTAACGCAATGGGTTCGAGATTAGGTAAGAATGGCTTCGCGAGTCCTCACTGTCAGACATATTGCGGGATAACTGAAAGGCTAAATGGTTAAGAAGGTACTGCCACCAGACAAGGGTAAAGAGGACAGAGAGAGTATGGTATTTAGAGTATTTTCTGTCAGAATTACTTGGTGGGCGAATATGAAGACGAAGGCAAGTATCCTTTGATGAATGAAGTCCCACAGAAAGTTTCAAAATGTATCTGTAGAATTATTTTTTTTCAAATTGTAACATATTTTAGGTGTTTTAATTATTTTGAATTCGTGTTTGGATTGGAGAAATGTGTGTTTCTGAGAAAAGTCTCAGTACTCCATCTCAACCCAGCACCAACAAACATACTATATATATGATATGGTTAGTTAATTACTAACTCAAGATACTGTTTACTGTTTTCCAATCTGCCTTGCGAAAGGCCGTTGACATCTCGACAATTAAGAGCCTTGCAAAACAGTACCCTCGAGCGTGATCGATTGTACTTTGTAAGTAGCGAATGGCAACTGCAGCTAGCACTGTCACGATGTTAATTATGTGAATATGTGTTTATGAAGCTTAACTCTGTATGTGTTAGAGAAGGTATACCATGTCTAATGGTCTCATTTCCTGGAAGTCGCACAATGTAAACATTGTCCATCGAGTCCAGTTGGTTTTGATACAAAATGAATTCAGGAACGATTGTGTGAACATCTCATATATAATAGCAGGCAGTGTGTGTGTTTAGGTAAGCTTGGCCGGCGTCATTTCTATAAATGAAATAATAGCTTGATTGCCCTATACGTCTTGAGACGAACCCTCCAATTGTCCTTTCACCGACCTTTGACCTATCGGTCACGTGATATCACAACCTCTCAAGAAGTCAATACAATATTAACAGCCAACAAATGCAATGTGGCTTGCACATTTCAACAATAATGTTTGTTTCTGTAGAAAATAATATATTTGAACTTTGGAGCACCTATCAAAGGCACATCCTAAACAATAGTTCGTAGATTAACACGTTGCATCTGTTTACTCCAAAGAAGCAAACGGGTTCTACAGAGAAGATTGGTGGAAGGGTTCCATCAACCAATCACATCACAGGGTAGTTGCGAAAACATCACATTCAGTCCTTTAGCAATAGCTTCACTTGCATCCAGCCTTTATCACAACCTGTGTCCTCAGTCCTTCAAAACACGTCACCATAACAACAGATGGGATAAGACACACCAACGGAATGTGTCATGCACCAAAAATCGCAACTGTGTAGAGTGGCGTCAAAGAGAGACAACTGCTTTGGTCATCTGAATGTGTGGCACTGGTGTTTGGGGTCAGCCACAGAAACGGTATCTCACGCGACTAAAGTCGACTTTCATCTCAAGGGGCATGCTGCTTAACCTTGATTCACAAGGACGGAAAATGAATTAACACAGATATCCTTGAAAAACTGGAACCGTAAAAATTCCATTCTAAGGGTACTAATCTCCCGTGATATATACATCAAGTTGCGGTAACGTTTCATAAAATGTCAAGGTCACGATCTTTGATATGCACATGCTCGTCATCTTCCGGCAACCCTTGGGTCTGACTGGCCAACGAGCTCACTTGCTGCTGATCTGATGTCTTCCTCTTCCCAGAAGCCTTACTACTTCCGCTTCCGACGCTCACTACACTTCCGCTTGAGGCCTTGCTCGACCTTCGACTGGTGTTGTGAGGCTGAGTCGTAGTTACGTACGGATCTGGACTTGACTTCCGGCGAGGACTGGAATCACCGGAAGCTGAAGAGCCAGCTAAACTGGATTTCCCATCTGCGTTTTCCCGGAAATGACCCGGGGATGAAGAAGCAGAGTGTTTTGGAGAATGTTCGACACTGTTTGACGTTGTCATGTTTTGCGGGGAGTTGAATTTTGAGCTAGGGTATGTGGAGATTAACGACGAACAAGGGGTGGATGTAGGCGAAAAAAATCTTAGAATTTCACTAATTTGTTCATCAATTCTGTTCATCTTGAAATTCAGAGAGTCCATCTCCTCTTTAATCTCAAGCCGTATGTCATACAGTGACGTCATCATATGCTGTTCAGCTGCAGACAGTCCCCCCAAGGAATTTATACTGGTTCTGTTGGTCTGCTCGCCGCTCCGAACAGGTTCTTCACCAATCTGATCAAGACAGTTGTTACTTCGAAGAATTCCACTATCAGTAGAATCGGTCTTTTTCAGGTTAGTCTTTACCTCCTCTTCGGGGGATTCGACAATCGGTTCTTGTTGCTTGCTAAGAAACTTGCCCCACTTGGACAGAGGTTTAACAGCGGCCTTGGGGGCATCATTTGCACGATTGTCAGTCTTGGGGGGAATTTCAGTCATTTGGATTCTGTTTTGGTTGTTGTCGGGTGAAGGGTCTTGTCCCTTTCCTCCTCCACCCATCCCACCCAGGAACTTGCCCCATTTGGATGAACCTCCTCCAAGTTTGGGGACAGCTGGCGTGGCGGTGCTCTCGGAGACATTAATGACTCTAGTACCACTCTTTGGTCTCTCGCCATTGTTCAGCGCTTGGCCGCCATTTTGTTGTCCTTTCTCCACGTCGATTCCGACCTGTTGAGTGCGTGCGTCACTAATTTTACGGAAGCGAGATATGAGTTTGCGCACTGGGTGGTCGTTTGCAAGATCAAGAGGTGGGTCGTTCTTTCTCTTCTCGGCGAGTTCTCGTTCTTTTTTTACATCTGCGACCTTCCGGAAAATTAACTGGAAGGAAACATAGTACACGTGAGAACAGATCACAGATCCTAAACTCAACGCCTCTGATAACAACTACGGTATATTTTCCTTCATTAACATATCGCTCTATATCTGACTTCAGTACCTACAATATATATATTGGGGTCAGATCATTTCAAATTGTTTTCCTAAAAACATTTCAGGGATGCTTCTACTATTTATGGCATATTTGTTGTAAAATGTACGGTTTGAAAAAAAAAACAAGAAAATTTTACAATAAATGCAGAAATTCTGCCTGATATAATCCTTATTGATACATTTTGTTGTTGTCGCCGTTTTTAATATGATGTGTTTATCATTATTCCCATATCCGTAAACCCAGTTAAGCGTTGAAACGAAGGAAGATTTTAAAATACACAATGCCTCTTTCCTTTTGCCCACTGGCACATGTCTACAGAATGCACCCGTGAAGATCCAGGGTAGAATACGTCTTCAGCAACCCATGTGCTTGCCATAAAAGGAGACTATGCTTGTCGTAAGAGGCGACTAACGGGATCGGGTGGTCAGTTTCGCTGACTTGGTTGACACATGTCATCGGTTCTCAATTGCGCAGATCGATGCTCATGCTGTTGATCACTGGATTGTCTGGTCCAGACTCGATTATTTACAGACCGCCGCCATATAGCTGGGATATTGCTGAGTGCGGCGTAAAACTAAACTCACTCACTCACTACAGAATGCATGGCTCGTCATTTTGCATATTACTCACCCTGTGCCGGAGGTTGTACGTGAGGGTGAGGTTACGGGCGAAGGAGTTGGCGAAGGCATGGTAGAACTCTAGAACCTCCAGCAGACGATCTCGTTTGATGGAATGGAGGTCACAATAGGTCAACGCACGAACATTGGCAGTTGACTGACCAATCGTCTGCTCCTTCCAAAAGTTATCCCCGAACACGTCGCCTTTACCTGAACAGAAATAGAATCACGTGTACTTTTCAAGAATCCTTATGTAGGGGATGATATTGATCGGCGAACACCATTTATTAAACAGTTCATTTGTTTGGTTTCTGATATATTTCAGTTAAGTGTATCGAGTTTCAAGGACGTTCTGTCACTCATGATCGAGGTTTCTAAGACAGAGTGGTACAAGGATTCTTCCATTTTACCAGTGCATGTCTGAAGATTCAGTGCACTACACTGATACAGTGCCCCGTGGTGTGGTAGTCACCAAGACCAGGTACTGTAATTATCAATTGTTTGATTCCCAACTGTTCCCTCAGGTTTAACACATCCTAATCTGTTGAATGGCACTGGGAGACCACAAGTACAAAAGTGTGCTGCCCGCCGCCCTTTTGAAACTCTGAGTAATGCGAAAGGCCGCGGATGTGGGGAACTGACGATACGCCACAAGTCCTTAACTACGCGAGGCCCACCCGAACCCTCACTGTTGCAATTCATCTATGCTAAGGGACCGTTCCTAAGTTATGGCAAAGAAGGGTGTGTGGGGTGTGTGGGTGTGTGTGTGTGTGATGATGATGATTTTTATGGAGAAGCATGTACAATGTGAATGACCCCCCTAATATTTATGTACAAAGTAAGTGACCCCCCTGCATGTCATGTACAAAATCAGTGCTACCTCCCCACAACCTATAATTTCTAAGCATAATTTTTAATAATGTTATGTACAGAATTGCTACCCACCCCCAGCACATGTGTACAAAATTGCTAAACCCCAACACACACACATACACCTTCCAAGAACAAAATGGGTGACCCCCTTAAAATCATCATCACCCCCTAGCCATAAATTATGAACGGTCCCTAATATGTATATATATCAAAATAAAACAATAATGTCCTAGATGTACACATTCAGCCGAATTTTAGCGAATTTTAGCGATGAAATGATATACTTACTGAGTATTGCAACCACCTCCTCGTCCTGAATAACCTCAAGCGACCCGGACACGACAAAACACAGGGCATCGAGACTCTCTCCCTGGTGGAAGATGAGGTCACCGGGTGCACTGTGTGTCATGTTGAAGTGCATGGCGAGAGCGCGCAGACACCCATCACTAGCCAATCGGAATGCAGGATGTTCGAGGAAGACCTTCCGGTTCAAGTGGACACAGAGGTCAGCCTTCATGTCCTTGGGGCAATAGTTTAGAACCTGAAACAGAAAATGTAACGTAAGTAGAAATAATACACAGGGTACACAGGCACTCCACAATCACAAAGATTCCACTTTTTGACCTTTTGCCACATTAGGAGAAAGGAGGAGGGCGACACTATTGAGAAAAGGAGGGGTGCACACTTCATTTACACCCGAAGTTCAATGGTCATTTAACAAACTTTCAGCACAAAAAAGGGGGGTGCGCACCCTAGCAAACACACACACACACACCCCACACACACACCCACCCCCTTCTCTGGATCCGCCTATCGAGCACTACATATTCACATCATTATGGGAGCGTTAATATGCATTTCAACAAATCTGCCTGTAGTCGGAAATAAAACTGATGAACCTGTCTTCCATTATGTGGACATATCGTTTGGTCCCTGTCTGGTAACTTCATATCCTATCTCCATTGTATCGCCATGTTTCTGTATTACATTTTGTACACTTGGCTACAGGACAAGTGATGAGGCCACGCGTGCACAGGTGAAGGTAGTGATGTTCTGTATTTCTATGATAGGACTTTTATCGACTTTGGGGAAGAAGGACATACAAACGGATTGATGCACTATCAAGGCTCGGTGCACACGACTTTCTCTTTTGCGTCCCTTGAGTACCAAGGCCTGTAAACGTTGAGTTCGATCCTACTTTCTTTCTTTTAATTACCCTTGGTTTGCCTGTTTCATACCATATTCGTATATTTCTGGTAACACATAAATCATTGCGGTCAGCCTCATGCGTCACCTGCCTGTCAAGTAAAGTTAAAATGTTGTTTATATGTGAAGTAATGTTTAATTCAGCGTTAACTCCCTAACGACCACATCGTTTGGTTAAATGATGATTGCCTATACTAAATGACCAGGTAAGGAGACTATATACTCACTTTTGATAATGTTTTGTTTTCGAGTTTGTCAAATTCCTTTTCAACTGTATAATTGTTCTTTCAATCCGATTTCTACAAGCGATGGAATCTTTGTCATATTAATTTATTGGACGAACACAATACAATTACAATTTTGACAAGTAAAACTGGATTTGACCCAAAAAAATGACAAACCAAATTAAAAAGCTAGTAAGTTGAAAACATTCCCCGGAACCCTGGAAACTTACAATACAAAACGCAACTTTGACACCTGCATCAAATGCATCCCTATCGAATAATCATGTGTTTGTTTCATGTAAATCAACCATCAAAAGTGGGTGTATACTTTCTTTTGTCTGGTAGTTTACGTTCATCGTACCTACCGTTATACACGAGGAAGTTCATTTGCTTCCGCACAATAACTCGCGGACATGCAGGGTATGCTGTACCCGGAAACATTGACAACAACCTTATCAAATAATCTACTTTACGTGCGACTGTCAGGCCGTCCGCTTCAGTCTATACTAATTATTTGATATGATCTAAGGGCCCCCACATCCTCACATGGGCTGCCTGGTCTTCCCATTTCCGGTTACAGATGTTGTTTCAGGAATATATGCTTCTGTTCCAGACATGATGGTTCATGATGAGTTAACCTGGTTCGATCCGGTATTCACCTGCCGGATCGATACCTTAAAATCCGTTAAGTGATCAGTCGTGGGAGGTCCACACGAACCACTTGCTTTCTTAGCTTAGGAGACATTATCCTGTAGGAAATTGTATTTTATTAGGTATAGCATGGTTATAAATTAATCACTTTCACTCAGTGCTTTAGGTTTATTGGAATGAATTTCCCGTCTGCCAGCCTCGTTTTCAATAATGGTACCCTTCATAGACGACTTCCGGCATTTGAGTGGGTCCCATGCATGATTTATAACGTCCTAAATTAGCATGATTAAAAACTGATTTAAGGTAGGAGAAACGTGGAACAATTTCCACATCGCCAACACTGACTACCTAACGCAAAGGTAGTATGCCTTTGAGAATGGTTGCCCATCTGAGGGCAAGCCTCGACAAGATCAATGCTGATAAATATTTCTTCTGTATGGACAAAACTGTCAAAAGGTCATGAACTGGCATTGTATACAATAAGAGTCAGTCTATTTTTTTAAAATTATGACGTGCACCTTTTCAAAGAAGTCATTGATTTGATAAAAGATGTTTTTGATTCTGTATAAGACAAGCGCATAAACAGCGCATGCGCATAACCGAACCCAGGATGACAATGGACGACATGACAACCCTGTATCCCACGGGACTGAGACGATTTATGGAACTCTGATTGCCGTGCATGATATACCTATTTGATTTATATCAGAGACGTATTACTTTACTCTCACTGGGGATAAAGACATAAAAAAAATTGTTTGTCTTGGAATTCAATCGATGGAATTCGCCGGCAAGCGTCTGGGTTTGAACAAACAAACTGCGCTTACAATGAGTTCATAATGAGATAAGGTAAAACTGTGGAGGTGTTTGTGGCCACTTTAAGCCCGGTCCGCTTTGGGCAGGCTGACATCGACTTGGGCAATACCTGTATAATCAATCGGGGACACGGACTTTCACTGTTGATTCAACCACGGGGTTTACCGTAGCAGGCCGATCAATCAATCACTTTTAGTTACACCTGTCGTGATAATCGATAGATCGATAGTGGTTCGATACTTGTCGATGACGGCATTGTTACTTGGCTCCAAAGTTTCTTTCATGTCGCCGTTGATGATGACTTACGTTTTATTGGCTTTGATTTCAAGACGAAACAACAATGTTTTTCACAATAACAGATACACTGAGAGATAATTTTAAATTCTGACATTCATCATGGAATTGATGAAATTCGGGCTGAAAGGTGTCACTCGTTATATGAAATCGATGAAACAAAAACAATCGTAGTACATGTAAATGTAATTTAAGTTACTCAACGTTTAAAGAAATCGATATATCGCGATGAAATATTTTCGCCAATTATCCCCGTGCTGGAACCAGTAAATCACCAAACAACTTTTCACGTCGTAGCCATTTCATGAACAATGAAGTATCAAGTAACTTTATGCGTTTGCTGAATCATGCCATGGCATGTGTGAAAACAACTGTAGCTTATATCAAATTATATGACGCTAGAACCAAAACGGAACAGGACGTTTTAATCAGAATGATTCAACTCGATAAAATTATCAATGACAATCACAATTATCATATCGATTCATAATAAGCTCGGGTGGGATACACAACCAATCCTTGGTCGAAGAACACAATGTCATGTCATAACAGATAGTCTCCATAGCGGGTACAATAGGTCTACGTCACTTCCGGTTGAGTGACAGTCTCGAGGCTGACATATGCAAGCAAAATGGCAGTTGAAATGGGACTAATCAATGCCGACTCAGTTGTCAGAGTGTTAGGCGAGTTAACTGTATACAAATTATTGTGAATAATGTATACCTGGTTTCTGTAAATGTATTCAGTGAGCAAGACTGCACGGCCCTAGTAACTTGAAACTAATGGGGCAAGACCGTCACTCAGGGCGATGTCATCTGATGTCATCTCACAGCATTGCACTCCCACTGTGACAATCAATACGGGTCATAGTTCCCTTTACAGTAGATTTTCAACTGACGCGGGGGTCTTTTATTTATTGATTCGCGTGACTTTTACATACTGGAACAATCCAGCTTGAAGGTTAAAGAAGAAATATCTGTTTCCGGCTTGACGTTGTAGTTTAATGGTTTAGGGAGGGGAAGGTGAGTGATTGTTGGTTAATGCCGCACTCAGCTGTATAAGACAGCTGGCAGAATATAAAATAGTTTAAATATATGTCTTTATTTTAACTCATTTTATCGCGTCACCTATGACAGCAAAACAATCCCAGCATGGCATACAGTGTCGATCACATTTCGAAGATGAACCTACTACAGGTCCAAACCCCTTGTAGTAATATGGAACTGATGGAAACGCCCCGAAATTTAGAGGTATCAAGGGGAATTTCATACCCGACTTTCATCTTATTTTGAGCAATAAAAATCAAGCGTTCTTCCTAGTAGGGAGCGACAATGACGGCAGCATGAACGGAATTTGACGTCGTGTACCTTCGCAGCGTCGATGCCTTTCGTGATGGCCCAGGTGGAGACGATGTAGTCCATGACGCGTTCACTGAGAGCCTTGGGGACGTCGTGCAGCTTCATGAACTCCCGGACGCTGTTGAGCATGTCGTGGTAGCGCGCGAAGCTGGCGTAGAACTGCTGGAATATCGTCGTCACGTTGCTGAAGATCGTGGCGTAAAGAAGCGCTGAAAGAAAAATAGGAGTTGTGATTGTCTTGAATATTCATCATTTAACATGAATAAAAAGGCGATAATGCCAACAGCAGACGATGATAAAAACAATAATAGCAATATGAATATTCTAAATGCCATTATGGGTAACCTCTGGGCCGACCAAGGATGTCATGTCATTGCCCTGTAAAAGACCTAATGTCATTTCCACCGGTAAAATAATGTTGTTGTTTAAACAAAAGGAAACAGTAATCATGTCAATAGCACCAGTTTCCATCAAGAATTACACATTATTTTTCAGTGCTCTGTGGACATTCACATTAGGAGCGGTTGGGTAGCTTAGTGGTTAAAGCGTTCGCTCGTCACTCTGAAGACCCGGGTTCGGTTCTCAAATGGGTACAATTTCTGAAACCCATTTCTGGAGTCCGCTGCCTTGATGTCACGGGAATATTGCTAAACGCAGCGTAAAACATACCCACTCACTCATTGTTGAAACAATCAGAAACCGACATTTATGTGTGAGGTAAAATAGACGTCTATGCTTGTATGCTGCTTACGTTTGGACGTAAACAAAGGAACTGCTTTTGCATTGTTTAAATGTATAAGTTCTGTCAACGCGTGGCTGAAGACGTGACAAAACTCTAGCCTGAATACTGGTTATTGTATACAACCTCTTTCAAGGAATTAAAACATGAAATCTAATTAACCCTTAAGCCTTTCACCGTCGATTAGTAAGTGAAGGATATAGAACTTTTTCAGATTCACTCTCCAATAACATCAAAGAGTTGGGCCCGAAACAGCCATTTGCATGACTGTTTCATCTCACTATAACATTCCACGTGCTGATCAAACATTCCCCCACGACGGAACCACTTTGCCAAGATCTCATTGGCAGTCTTACACCGCCATAATGAAAGATGTTTCACCCGAAGCCATTATTTTCCTCTTTACGTTTTGTCTCCTTACCAGAATACTGCCCTTAATACCCTTTGAGTTGCCCCGTTTATCCATATACACAAAATGCCCATAACCATTTGATTGATTGAGTTCAAAATACCATAAACACCCAGTACAATTACATAATCTCCTCGACATTGGATGGCGCGCATCGATCTTCGCCGATGTGGCAAGGTAACGCCATTACACGGTTAGACGCTATGAGGTTAGACTCGGGAACACCTACAGATGTCAAGACATTCATCAGGTTACAGCCAATAGATGCTAGCTTCACGCTTGTTTTATTGTTTTCTAACTACGTTGCTTACGTGTTGATATTACGCAAGTTTTATCTTAAGAAGGCTACGTAATTGGTTGTTATGTGAGCGGAATGAAGAAAATGAGTGTTGTCCACGCCGCAGCAACATTTGTATCCGCCCCTAAACCAATGAGTAATAGCATGAATACACTGGGTAGGAAGACACACGATCATCCTGGCCACATATCGAAATCACAATCATCACTTTTTATTGGCTCAGTCTACAAGCAAGGAGCACCAGGGAACCCCTTTCCTTTAGCAGGCAATGGTGGCGGGCCAAAACTTTTGCATCGGTAATGGGAAATAACCCTTCAATGTATGATTTTGCGTAATCAGAGATGTTCACGAACCAGGATTCTTTTCCTTCAGGTATTTAATGTGATTACTATAATATTGAACGTTCTATACACACTGCATAGGTAGAGTACGCTATAGGTTAGAACGTTCTGAAGTTAAACCATCGCTTTAAATAGTCATGTGAATGTGGCCATATTTGCATGTTTAATGAAAACTGGGACTTAGGAAATGTTCTTTGAGACTTGGTCTGCAGCAACTGATGCTGGCGCATGAGTGAATGAGTATGGGTTTACGCCGATTTTAGCAATATTCCAGCAATATGGGGACACCAGAAGTGGAAGTGGACACAGATTGTATCCATGGGGATTCGAACACGGGCTTCAGCGTGACGGGCGGAAGCTTTAACCACCAGACTACCCTACCGCCCCTAAAGCGACTAACGGGATCGGGTGGTCAGGATTTGTTTGATGAATGTCGTCGTATCTCGATTTTGAAGACACTCATGGTGTCAATCAGTGGATTGTCTGGTCCGAAGTCCATTATTTACAGTCCGCCGTCATATAGCTGGAATATTGCTAAGTGCGGCGTTAAGCTATCAACAAACAAGAACAATGTTCTTTAAAATATATGTTGTTTTCTTGTATTTGCTGCCACTTACATCCAATGATCATCATGAAGACGGAGAAGAGTTTTTCACTTGCGGTGTTGGCAGCGACGTTGCCAAAGCCGACGCCGGTCATGCAGGACAGTGAGAAGTACAGGGAGGTCAGATAACGCATGCTTTTATCCGGCCCGCCTTCTAGCTCGTCAACGGAGGATGTGTTGGATCTGATGAATGGCGACTTCGTCAGTTTGGCCAAGATGGGCAGCCAACCATATTCCACGTTACTTAGCAGTTCGGCGTTGCCTATGGAGTACCAGCTGCACGCGAACCAATGGGCGAAGAGTATGAAGACGAGGATGAGGAGAACCAACATGGCGGCCCCGTACTCCAAGTAATGATCCAGCTTCCTGACTACTCGTCCCAATCGGAGTAGACGAACCACTTTGAGGGCGCTGAACAAGGTACTGATACCCTGATAAAGAAAGACACGAGGTGAAGTAAAATATGAATGTTTTGACCCAAAGTTGAGCGGTCCTAAACTGATTTTGAAAAAGGCACAGCTACAATTACACTTCAACGGCAACAGAAAATCGATGTGTCGTTTAAGAAATGTCTAAAGCTCACACGCTTGACTTTTTTAAACTTCTGAATATGGAAAGATGTACTTAATGTTTTCAGATATATTTTTGGCGTGTCAAGTTACGAGGGCCGTAGACGTAAATCACTTTATTGGAAACAATTAGAAGGGAGCTACTTCTAACGGTATAAGAAGCAATGTCAACTCAAAGACTTAGCGTGACCAAAGCGGATTCTCGCAGTCAGGTGACCCAATGCTGTGGGCGATTTGTGACGCCTTCAAAGCACTGACCCACCGTAAGCACGTCTTCTGACCATCAGCTATTAACAAGTCTTCGATGTATTATTAGACTGTATGTATTTTAGGAGAATCTATCTTTTCCTAAGTTTCATATATACTCATGAAAATAATTTCTTTGTCGGACAGTAATATATAGCATATGGATGTGGATAGCATTGTGGAAGCATAGATATGAGTATGCCATACTTACATCGTCAACATACTGAAACGCATTGAAGACGTCATACGGTAAACAGGAGAGTAGGTCAATCACGAACCAACTCTTTAAATAGTTCATTCGTATGATCTTAGGATCCGATATCACCTCGCCACTCGGCCCCACAAATGTGGTGTGAAAGTTCAAAACGATGTCGACGAAGAACACGACGTCTACCATGCTGTCGATGACGAGGAGGGGCAGCTGGTCCATTGTCTTGATCTTGAATGCGGCGTTATAAGGGACCATGATGGCGGTGTAGAAGGTGAGGACGAGGATGATCCAGTCCCAGATTGTCTTGAACACACAGTAATGAAGGATGATGTGGGGAGGGGTCTTGGGCGCCTCCAGGCGGTACTGAGGCAGGACGTCCGTGTTCAAGTTCATCATCTGCAGCCAGAACAAGCCCTTGCTGAACCAAAACATCATATAGGACGGACAAAACCCTTTCAACATCCATAAGATATCTCTGGTAGAAGAGTAGTCGATTGTATAATTGTGACTTTACCATGAATATATATTTGTTTCAGCAGTATGTGTGCTGACACTCTGTCTATAGACCATGTAAATTCTGGTAGTAATGCAGATTATATGATTCTTCGTCTATTTGTACCCTTGGGCGGTGGGGTAGCCTAGTGGTTAAGGCGTTCGCTCGTCACTCCGAAGACCCGGGTTCGATTCCCCGCATGGGTACAATGTGTTAAGCCCATTTCTGGTGTCCCCCGCCGTGATATTGCTGGAATATTGCTAAAAGCGGCGTAAAACCAAACTCACTCACTAATTGTACCCTGGCCGGCATGATAATTCATTTACTCTTTGGTTTGTTGATTTACTCTTTGGTTTGTTGGGTATGGGCAGGAGACATTACAGGGCGTCACGCATACACCGACTTACGTTAGCAATTTGTGACGCATACACCGACTTACGTTAGCAATTTGTGACGCATACACCGACTTACGTTAGCAATTTGTGACGCATACACCGACTTACGTTAGCAATTTGTGACGCATACACCGACTTACGTTAGCAATTTGTGACGCATACACCGACTTACGTTAGCAATTTGTGACGGCTTTGAGTTGTCAAACTTTGTATTTGGCATATGCGATGAGAACTGAAGCAGGGTGGACCGGTTCCGCGTCACAGACCGTGCAAGGCGGGCGAACTTGCTCAAACCAGCTGCAACATCACATTAAACAAATCAAGCACGTGAAATATCTCAGAAGTAACTAACAACGTGTCAAACATGTCAAGCAGCCAAACATGTCAATGATATCATGCATGTCAAACGTATGAAGCACGTCAATGATATCAAGCATGTCAAACGTATCAAATATGTCAATGATATCAAGCATGTCAAACGTATCAAACATGTCAAAGATATCAAGCATGTCAAATGTATGAAGCACGCTAATGATATCAAGCATGTCAAACGTATCAACATGTCAATGATATCAGCATGCCAAACGTATCAAACACGTCAATGATATCAAACATGTCAAACGTATCAAAGACGTCAATGATATCAAGCATGTCAAACGTATGAAGCACGTCAATGATATCAAGCATGTCAAATGTATCAAACACATCAAAGATATCAAGCGTGTGTCAAACATAAAAGAATGTCAAACATAAAAGATTCTTAAAGTCTTCTATTTTTGTTACGTATATGAAAAAACAACGAAGTTGTCTCCTATGCGCGTATGTAAATCTATCCTCAGAAATTTTGTCTGATCGAAACAAAAAGAACACGTTTATTCTTTATCACACTATTATATAAAATCGATAAAAACGTTAACTTTCCATAATCACAATAAGAATCGATTTCGACATCCATGAGTTTATAATTAATTCAATGTAGGCATGCCAGCTGATCCCGAAAAGGTGAGAAACCTCTGCCCAAACGATGGCACCCATCACAAACACAAGCAAAGGCAAGTCAACTTTCGTCAGTCAAATCGCTCGTGATTGGTTATTACCTTTGCCTCCTTCGTCGTCGATTGGTTGTTTGAGTGCAGTGATGTCCTTGAAGGAGCACATGAATAGCACGACTTGGTCCTTCTCGTTCTTGATGGGCGCCACGTGCAGGAGGAGCCATAGTGGAGTCCCTGTAGAACAAGAACCGTAAACGTATCAAGAACAGGTTCATAAACAGACATAAACAAGTTAACACATACCAAAATACCAATTAGGCCAGGGCCCCGCTCCTCAAAGCGATCGTAGCGCTACGACAGTCGTAAGTCTGTGTTAAAGTATGGGAGTTACGGTCATCCTAGCGCTACGATCGTTTCGTGGAACGGGGTCCAGGGCCTAGATTTTCGAAGCTCTCTTAGCGCTCAGATAGTCGTAAGTTAATGTTAATGTATGGCACTTACGACTATCTTAGCGCTAAGAGAGCTTCGAAAATTCTAGGCCAGGCCTGTTAGCCTTGAAACCGTGCTGGGAATACTGGCATTACCATGTACAATGTATATAGAAAAAACGTTTAACCCGGATCTAAAACCCGGAACTACATCCTTTCCAGTAATACATTTTCGTCTAGTTTGCAGATATTGTAATTCACATCAAACTGATAGATTCATTTTAAATGATTCATTCGGCTCTCGTGCGTCATCATTCATTTTTTATTTGTATGACCAAATTACGCCATTATAAGTAATATTATATTTTTTATACTAATTGATTATTATGATATAAAACAGTTTCATGTAGGAATGATGGGAAAATATGTAGACGCGCAGAAAAGCAATTATCCGATGTGTACATTCAGTTATCTCAGCATGTGGTAGAGTTAATTAACCTACAAGGTTGCAGGTCTACCCGATAGCATGATTCTATTACTGAGTTTATTATTCTGTGATTAGTATTTGGTGACTTGCTACTTTGCTTATAGGGGCGGTGGGATAGCCTAGTGGTTAAAGCGTTCGCTCGTCACGCCGAAGACCCGGGTTCGATTCCCAACATGGGCACAATGTGTTGAAACCCATTTCTGCTGTCCCCCGTGTGATATTGCTGGAATATTGGTAATAGAGGCGCAAAACTAAACTCACTTACTTTGCTTATACTTTTCGCTCGTCTTGGGGGTAGTAGATAACCATTCTTTAAATCAATGGATCAATCAATCGACCAACCAATTAACACATACGCACGCACGCACGCACGCACACAAACACACACTCATACACACATACACGCGCGCACGTACGTATGTACGCACATAAATAGGCCGAATAAATTTTTTCTAAGCCAGAGATAATCTAACTGCCAATGTGCCACAGTCGATCCATGATTTACAGCGTAGATGGCTATTAATAATTCAACATTAGAGGGCAATTTCAGTCGTTGCACCTGCTGCAGGAGAAATCAGGTCAGACGTCATCTTCATCAACAATACACGACTACAGCGGGGCCAGAGGCACTACAACCACTCGAAGCAACAGTAATTGGTAAACAAACATTCCTAGAGCCATCAATATACACCATTCATTGGAACCAAACCGGTATTTGTCAGCCAGACCCTGTGGGACAAGACTAATAGCAGAGTGGTGCAGGTTCGTTGTTTAGCGTGTATTCATGTTTCTCTATGTTTTGTGTCCGTGTATCAGGGTGATCGGATTCCTAACCGTGTGGCTGTCAGTCAGTGTAGAGTTTCAGCCTCACGGGTTATACCTGCCAGAACATACAGCCCGCCCATCGACCCGCACTGGGAGTGGTACACCAGGAATAGGGTTCCTATATCATGGTATTAACGACCCGTGACGTCACAACTCTCATTGTGCGCCCATTAGCGGGTTGACGTCGTTTAGGACACGAAGAAAATAAATAGAGAAAGCACAGGGCTCTCTGATCGGAATGGCTATAGATCTTTATATTTGCAGAGATATTTATGGGTTCATATGTTTCAGGGTCATTTTCATTGTGGACACAAATTGGTTTGTTACGATTCATTAGGTACTGTATGTAGGTAAATCAGCTTAAGATTAAATGCGGATAGGTGGTTTTTATACATAGACCAGTTCACGTGGTGCAATGGTCGACTTAAAATAAACAGACTTTTCGACTAACGCTGCCATTACAATATTGGCATCCAGGTTGTCAAAGCGCCCGCGGGTCATATTTCCCCAGGGCAAGGGAGTCAGAAAGAACCAGTCAATACAACTGAAACCCAACTATCGGAATCAATGTCCAACACACTCCGAACAACGAGACGTCATTTGAGGCTATTATGTAAGAGGCAGACAAGTATAAAGGGGTTTGTTCTTCCTGCAGGAATGTTGCATTGGGTCTTGCGCAATGCAGTAATGGCGACATGTAAAGCGAGAGGGTCCACAGCAAGCCAAATGCTTTACAAGGATCGCAGTGATATTAGGTTACATTGAACTGGCTCTGGGCATCACTGGAACATGGAGAGTGAGTGTGGTTTTACGCCGCACTCAGCACTATTCCAGCTATATGACGGCGGCTTGTAAATAATCGAGTCTGGACCAAATAATCCAATATTCAACATCAGGAACATCGACCATCGCAGTTAGGATACAATGACATGTGTCAACCAAGTCAAGAGCCTGACCACCCGTTCCCGTTAGTCGCCTCTTACGACAAGCATGGGTTGCTGAAGATCGATTCTAACCGGAGTTTCACAGGTAGCTTCACTTATTGTGCCCATGTGGGGGGAATCGAACCGGGTCTTCGGCGTAAGGCTACCATTAGGCTACCCCACCACCCCCACTGGAACTTGGAGGAGATACAGAAATGTTCGTCCTCACATCCAAATAGCTTACTCCATGTTTCAGACTATAGGAAATCGTCATGTTCGATGAAGTTACAAAATGTGGAACTTGATCAAATAGATAAAATTAAATGCTATTACAAGAATTGCCACACAATTTTATCTTTTAATTAAGGTTTAGAATTGCAACACATAGTAAAGAACAACATTTGTTCTCATGTAAACACGGGGGCGAATTTCCACACATAAAATCCAATCAATTTGTCAATTCATTATTGCTATTCGGAACTATTGTGACAAATAATTCATTGCCATTAATCTTCAGTGACGACCGTTGTAAGAACTACAACTTCAGGCAACTCCGCCTAAAATAAATTACGAAATAGCTAACACGTCAGTCATGATAGATATAACTAAAGTATCAAAACAGAGATTGGGTGATTTTTCACCTTATCTTTCATTTGTACACAAAAACAGAAGACCAACGGCCCAGCGCGCGTGATACATATAATAATGATCGTATGAATTATCATGTTTGTCCAAATTGTCAGTTTTCCTAAGTTTTCAAATATGAAAATACAGACTCATGAAAATTTGATTTTAGTCTGGTTTCCATTTTGGAAGCTAATGTACCAGTGCTGGAAGTAGGAACTCGTTTTAACGCCCCACTGGTTTCAACTGCGCATTTGATTAAGCATACGACACCTCGTGTGTACTCACGGGCACGTATCAGCCTGGTTCAGATGAGCTTTCGACTCTCATCAATTGTTAATTGTCAACAAATGCCCTGAAAAATACCCCTTGTTCGCGAGCGATCACACCCCAGGCTCTGCCTCTATGTTTGATTTCCCCAGAGGTTCTGCTAGTGAATTATTCAAATGAGATGAATGCGTTTTAATTTCCAACAGAAACTTCACACCTCTGTGACGCTATCTATAGAAGTGGGTATCCGTTTAACACGTCACCTGTTTACTTCCAATGTATTTAATCTGGCAATTGCGGCGTGTGCTGCAACATGCGTTCATGAATCTTCGCTGCCAACGGAACGCGTGTAACTTTACACTGGGCACATAAGCAGGTCAAGTTGTTTATGCGACAGTAAAATATAATAACATATAGTCATTGTTCGTTTTCATTTCTGGATAACGCCCAATGATGAACATTTGTTTACTTGTGTTTGTATAAAATTTCACACTGAATACACTCGTTTATTCTCGTATTTCAGTCATCTGTAAATTAATGATTCTAGTATTCTTAGAGAGAAGCACACATCCCAACTCATTTTATGAAAAAAATAGAAATGAAATTTAATTTCACTTGTGAGTAGTCTTTATGATTGATGTAGATCAAGTCACTTTGCTTCTGAAACAATTCTGTAAAAATCGTTGAGGTTCAATGTTAAAAGAGTCTCGGACTTGTCTTGAAATGGTGATCGAGAATTAGGTGAAATGGGTTTGATTAAATTTGGGATTGAGAATTTGCTTACATGGGTATCAGGTATGAGTTCAGATGGGGATCAGGAATCTCCTGAAGTGGTGATCGAGAATTTGTTGAAATGGGGATCAGGTATATGATCAACTAGAAGTTTTTGAAAATAGATAAAAGTGAGTGCCATTTCCAGTACATTTACGGCAGAATTGTTTACTGAATAGACAAAGTATTTGGGCTACCTAGTCAACAATGTTCTGTCCATGTGTGACAAGTATGACAGAAGAATTGCCGGCGATAATGTATCAAACCGGATGTCGTCTGCTGAATCTGATACTTTGAGATATGTAGCAAAATATGATAAGCAACCGGAACACTGAGATACTGTACACACACACACACACACACACACACACACACACACACACACACACACATGATAACCAACCGGATGTCGTCTGCTGAAACTTATTCCTTTAGAGATGTAGTAAAACCCATCAATGATGACCAACCGGATGTCGTCTGGTGAATCTGGTTCTTTGAGTGGTGTAGCAAAACCCCCTCATGATAACCAACCGGATGTCGTCTGCTGTACTTACTGTTTTTCTTGTAGAGCAGTATCTCGACCTGTTCCTGTTCCATCGTCTCAAACGCATCCTCCAAGCCATGGATCGTCTCCTTGTCGGTCAGCTCACCATACATGAAACTGCATGTGCTGCTCTTCTGCATAACCTCCGCTCGGTTGTAGCCGGCAAGCTTACAGAAGCCGTCATTGCAATAGACGATGGGGTACTCCACGATACGAGCGTTGGCCAGAATGAAGCTGCTGTCTGGAATCACGAATATTCAACTTTAATATGCATGTTAAAAGAGTTAAAATCACCTGTTTAAAATTCACTACCCCATACCCATATATAGACATGCCGTCAAAAGCATTAATAAAAGAGTGAAACCCATTTCAACACTGCTTGCAAATACATTCACAGAGTTTCCAACCAGAGAGGGAAAAAAGGTTTGAGATGCCGGGATCCAAGGGCCGGTCGGGTCTTGAAGCCCCCCTGAAGCAGACGCTTTATTGCAAATTCCCTTCTCCCAAAAGTCACTGAAAACGATGTATTCGGACCTATTTGTGTGAGGGGCGGTAGCCTAGTAGTTAAAGCGTTCGATCGTCACACCGAAGACCCGAGTTCGATTCCCTACATGGGTACAATGTGTGAAGCCCATTTCTGGCGTCCCCTGCCGTGATATTGCTGGAATATTGCCAGAAGCCGCTTAAAACCAAACTCAGTCACTCAGTATTTGTGTAATCTTTTACGGATTTTTATTTTATATTTTTCGTATGAACTGACTTTGGTCTGAGATTCATCAGTTTTGTCATGAGTGAGTGAGTGAGTGAGTTTAGTTTTACGCCACTTTTAGCAATATTCCAGCAATATCATGGCGGGGACACCAGAAATGGACTTAACATATTGTGCCCATGTGGGGAATCGAACCCGAGTTTTCGGCGTGACGAGCGAACGCCTTAACCACTAGGCTACCCCACCGCCCCTTTTGTCATGAGAGCATGACATGAGTAAAATACTACGTGAGTCTCAAGCCGTGAGAGTTGGCAGCTATGTTCTTTGAGAGGCATTTCAGTTGTGAAGAAGAAGGAAAACTAGTTCTATGTATAGTCAACTTCTTTATTGCAATGAGTGCGACGTTTCGGTGTAAGTAGTTGCTTGATAACGGTGTTAGTACTTACACTGAAACGTCGCACTCATTGCAATAAAGAAGTTGACTATACATAGAACTAGTTTTCCTTGGCAGTTATGCATTCAAATTACTACACATAAACCAGTTTAGACATTATAAAACAAAACGCCACGAAACCTTTACAGAGGTATCTGCTATAAGGGGAGTCCGTTGTGGAATTCCGACCCTATCACAAGCATGTGTTTTATGAACCACTATCAAAATGACATATCAGGTGTTCGAAACAAGTTCAGCGTATCCTGTGCCATTTGTTTTATTAGCTACAGACATACAATGTCGGGACTCGGTGATAGTTCATTAAAACCATATTGTTTCAGAACTTTATAGGAAACTAGTTTTGTCAGAGATTACGTAAGAAAATAATTGTCAACTAGACATCCTGTAATGACTGGTAATGTGGTACACCCAAAAACTATCCAAAAACTGTTCGAAAACACTACCCTCTGCGATCTCTGTGACAACTAGCTGGCCCATACGTATATTTGACATACTATTCATTTATAAACTCAGCATTATTCAGTCATAAAAAGGTATTTTTCCACGACCACTAAATATCGACCACTTAATAATGTGAATATTTATTTCAATGATCACAAAGATGGTTCGTGAAAATTTGTTTACTCGACACCTTGGCGTAATTCACTTTGTTTCAATATGTGTGCACGTGGACAATATGCATTGCTACGATCTTTTGTTTGTTTGTTGTTTAATGCCTTCACTGCGATCTGTAAATAATCAATCCAATGATAAACAGCAATCCAATGATCAACAGTATGAGCATCTATCTACGCAACTGGGATTCGATGACATGTGTCAACCACGTCAGCGAGCCTGACCATCCGATTCCGTCAGTCGCCTCTTACGACAAGCATGCTGCGATCGTACCCTTATCCACACTTCCCAAGGTGAGATGGTTAGTGCAGAGTAAATCATCTATGAGAAGGGGCGGTGGGGTAGCCTAGTGGTTGGCTCGTCACGCCGAAGATCCGGGTTCGATTAACCATGGGTACAATGTGTGAAGCCCATTTCTGGTGTCCCCCGCTGTGATATTGCTGGAATATTGCTAAAAGCGGCGTTAAACCTCACTCACTGACTGACTGGTCATCACACGGATACAAACACGTGCGCTAACCGCTGCTTAAACATTCACGCGTTTTGCTAAAATTAAATCATTAAACGTTTCATTGATGTTAATGGACATTGTGTTGCAACACATTATCGACAGAAACATTATATATTTTTTCAAACATTATTATTTTGAATGCACACAATGCAGGTAACCCATAAAACAAATCTCATGTTACTATGAAAGAAGTTCTTAAAGTACAATAAAATAACATTTTTTCATCTCTTTATCTGTATTGAAACTGAAGACGGCGTTTATTTAAGAACTTGGCAACGGTTTCTTAGGTTGCAAATGGTTCTCTTCAGGCACACGTAAATAAAGCGTTTTTAGTCTGGAGGTCGATGTGATTTTGCATTTGCCACAGGTAATTATCGAAGACTTGGTTTTGCGTCACGTTGCAAGACACGCGAATCGAAAGCACGTCTTTCTGAAAGGGTTTTTCTCGATTACCATTGATTGCAATTTAATAAATGTTCAAAGTTTTAGACACTCTAAAGTTGTCATCTCAATAATATCCATGGGATACCAAGATAGCAGAATACAACAGTGATATTATGTCGCGTTTATTTTGATACAAATATATCATCATGATACTGCATAAGAATTATTCCTTTTACCAGAAATATAGCATTACGTATGTATCGAAAGGATTCCATAGAAACAGAGTGTGTTTACAATATACTAGTACCTGAAGTACTACACAGTCACGCTCGCCCAATGGAAAGCTCGGCTTCCCGATACGGGTCTAATACATGAAGCTAATGGCGTCTGTGTGTTCCCGTCGTGCTCTCACTAATGTTGTGCGACATCCTCACGCGTGACTGTTTCTTGGTCAGGTCTGCATTGTATAATGTGAACAAGAGATTGTTGTCTTTAGTAACGCGTACACGATTAGATTTACCTTTTTTAAATGAAAGAAAGAAAAATACACTCAAGAGATTGGTTCCTGGTTTTGTTAATGTTTTGGGATGCTATCAGTGATAGTATCAGAGCAGGGGGCTTCGCACATATTTGGAGGGAGCAACAAACAAAGGTACCGTTGCAAGAGTGAGTGAGTTTAGTTTTACGCCGCTTTTAGCAATATTCCAGCAATATCACGCCGGGGGACACCAGAAATGGGCTTCACACATTGTATCTATGTGGGGACTCGAACTCGGGTCTTCGGCGTGACGCTTTAACCACCAGGCTACGCCACAACCCCCGTTGCAAGGAGAATGAAGACACATCATCCTTCAACTGTGAACCATTCGGTTGTCCCCGTTACCTGCTAATCTGTCTATTGCTCTCGTGTCCCGAGGCACATACAATGTATATTCGACATTAATTGAAATTTGATCTTCGCAGTATAATTAGTCTTAAGGGAAATATGGCGTCTTTATTCTTATTGTAATGTTAAATGTCTTCGAGATATATTCTGCTGTTAATGTGTGCAGGTTTCTGTTCACAGTGATTCATTGTAGTTATCGTTTGTGTCATTTAACATAGCGGTTGTGCAGAACCCAAACAAGCTTATTAATAATTGCTAGAACATTGTGTTTTCATTACCCGTTATTGAAGCAATATGTTTTAATTGTTTCATAACTATTGTTGTTGCGCCACATGTAAATTTTGATTTGATTGTTTGATAAATATACGGAATAGATCAGGTATCACGCGTGTGAGTGTACAGCGTAACAGATGTTATGATAAACATGATCTAATAAACAAGAATACACGCCCCACACGCTTCACTCAGATTACATCGGGCATTCTCGGAAATTCAACGCGCTTGCGGAAACTGACGGAAACTGACGGAACATGATGAGATAGTACCTATTGATTTAAGTTTGGCATTTATTCAATGACTCGATCATGACATTTCGTCTTATATGTATCTTCCATCTCAACTATTTCATAACAGACTGGAGTATTCTTTCTGTTCAGCATATAGTCTAAAATGGCAAGTTGATAACTTCCACGGATACATCCACAACTTGGAGAGACGTCGTAGAATGCCACAACAGGTCTCAATGTCTGTTCAAAACACTCCGAGTGCCGAGTCGTGCCGAGTTGTCATGCCAATGACCAGTAGTCATGGTAACATCGAAAATGGAGAACACAACGCTGTATCCGGAACGATGTGGAGACACTTTAGTCTGTGAACGTAATAGTATACACAGTGATGTGAGCCAAATATGTCTAACACTTATAAACAAATAGTTTCTACTTAACACGATGAAGACTGGAGTGGGTGAGTGAGTTTAGTTTTACGCCGTTTTTAGCAACATTCCAGCAATTTCACACGGGGGACACCAGAAATGGGCTTCTCACATTGTGCCCATGTGGGGAATCGAACCCGGGTCGAGTGAACGCTTTAACCACTAGGCTACCCCACCGACCCCTGAACACTGGATTTGAGCAAAACATTACAAATGGTATGAAGACGTTATTAGGCAGAACAAAGTTGCAGAAATACTGCAAACGTAGGGCTCCAAAACTACAGCACCCTTATCAGATACATTACCCAGAAACGATGTCTTGTGTGTTTCATGTTTCTCCATCATTAAACATGAGTCCATATATTTATGACCGACAGTTAAGTCCATCATTAAACATGAGTCCATATATTTATGACCGACAGTTAAGTCCATCATTAAACATGGGTCCATACATTTATGACCGACAGTTAAGTCCATCATTAAACATGAGTCCATACATTTATGACCGACAGTTAAGTCCATCATTAAACATGAGTCCATATATTTATGACCGACAGATAAGTCCATCATTAAACATGGGTCCATATATTTATGACCGACAGATAAATCCATCATTAAACATGGGTCCAAATATTTATGACCGACAGATAAGTCCATCATTAAACATGGGTCCATATATTTATGACCGACCGATAAGTCCATGTTATTATCTGGATGAGAACTCGGACATAATTATCACATCGACACCTTT